GATCGCAAGTCTCCCTGTAACCACCCCTTGTTCCCAAGAAAACTCACTAGCTAGCCTTTTTTAGTCCTTTTTGCCTCTCTTGAGTAACATAGATTCTTTTCATTCCATAGAATGTTTTTGCTATAATAACTCATACATATCTTTGAGAAATTTTTATTACCACCAAATCAACAATTAGTCCTCATGATTAATCAGTATAAACAGGTATCTAGTAAAAATTATCCAAGTCTAACATCAGGAATCGTACTATGCAGAAGCATATACTCTAAAGGTTCTATTTTAAGGTACAATTCCCAGGAAAGAAACAAGTCCTCTGTAACAAATGCCTAGTGGGTAGATTCAGTAACAGAGAGCTTAAATAAAGATCTCTTGTTCACTCATTTGAACTCCTCAGGGATTGCATACATCCTCCTTGGCTAACCTCTGCTGTCTTGCAAGAACAAAGCTGCCCTTGAAAAACTGTCCTCTTCATACAGAGTGTAGTTGATATATTTATAATGTGCTTTGAAATGACTTCCAAATTATATGATCTTTCTACTTGTCTAGGTTTAAGTCCATAAAGTCATGAGTTTATTAAAATTCAACTAAGATGTTTAATGCCAAAAAATAAAATGAAAATGTTGTCTGTCCTTATTGACATATTGAATGCCACAGTAGCTACATAGCTATCATGCTGATATATCATCTAAGAGTTGAGCTTAACCCCTCATTGAAAGTTAAAGAGTTTTGGTAATGGCTTTTGAAGACACCCTGCTCTATATAGAAGAGCTTGCATCCCTGTCAACTTGTGTGTGTGTGTGTGTGTGTGTGTGTGTGTGTGTGTGTGTGTGTGTTGGTCCTCAAACTTGGACTCACGGCCTAGGTGCTGTTGCTGGTCTTGTTTTACTCAAGGATGGCACTCAACCAGTTGAACCACAAGTCTACATCTGGCTTTTTTTTGTAGTTGTTAGTTTTAATGGAGATAAGAGTCTCACAGACTTTGCTGCCCAGGCTGGCTTCAAACCACGATCCTTAGATCTCAATCTCCTGAGTATCAGCTAGGATTTCAAATGAGCCACCAGCACCCAACTCAGTCATTGTTTTTTTAAAGCAACACATAAGATTTCTCATCTTGTGAGTGCCTCCCAATCCTTTTTCACAGACTCCTGGAGACAGGAAATGTTAGCAGCAAGACAAACTGTGTCTCCCGAGTGGTAGTGTTAATACAAGGCACAACTTTTCTGAGCTTTTCCAAGCCACAGGGCAGATAAAATGCAGGTTATTGCAGCAAAGAACAAAGAACATATTCTGAAGGCTTGACTATGGTTGACTATGGGACTGTAACAGCTCAGTTGTCAGCTGACAACAGCTCAGACCGAAATCTTGCTCTGTAGTGCATTTAACAAGCCTCTGTCTGAAACTTACCTTCTCTGACACACGGAGAGCACTTTCAGTCCTCACTAAGTATTCTAGAGAAGTTCCTCTCTTTGCTTGGGAAAAGAGAAGTAAGTATTTCTCTACAATGAATAAGTTAAGCAGCTTTGACTGCATACAAGTCTGGTTGGATTGATTGGTTTTTAAAACAGGTGCCGCCACAAGGTAAGTGTAACCTCCAGAATTGGGTATTGTTCTATTAGATAATCCTGATTAAATTTATTTTTTCTATTAAGCTAAAAGGAGGAAATGAAACATTTTCTTGCTTTTAAAAATAAATCAAACCTTTCTGTCACCCTGTATAACATTCAATATTTATCTTGATGAATCCTAATGCCTGCCAGACTGCTCCATTTCAGGGAGACTGAAAACTTTCTCCACCATTTATTAATAAAGCGTTTTGAGTGACATCCAAGATGCTTCTGTTATATAAAATCCCACACGCTATATATCTTTTGATCAACCTTAGTGTAAATTCTGTGTGAATTAAATAGAAACAAATTGGAAACACACTGTACATCATCATTCTGAACCCATGTTCAAAGAAAGCACTTTGGAATGGATTTATCATTCCATCTTAGGGTTCCATATCCAAAAAATGTACTGATCCTCTTTTTTTTTTTTTTCAGTCATGGGGCTTGAACTCTATGCCTGGGCACTGTCCCTGAGCTCTTCAGCTCAAAGCAAGTATTCTACCACTTGAGCCACAGTGCCACTTCCTGTTTTCTGGTGGTTAATTGGAGATAAAAATCTCATGGACTTTTCTGGCTTTGAACTGCAGTCCGCAGATGTCTGCCTCCTGAGTAGCTAGGATTTTAGGTGTGAGCCACCAGTGCCCAGCAAGTATTGATCCTTTTAAGTGTACAAAAGTAATAATAACAATGAAACTGATATCAATGTTTACTACAAATGGAATATAAGTACCTTACAGTGTAATCTCTTTATATTGCTTATAATCACATGAACTAGAGCTAGAAAGCAGTAGAGCTAGGATTTGAGTGCAGTGCAGTGGTTAGAAGGTAGTGGCAACGGCAAAGGCTCCATTCTTTTTAAAAATTATATTGTTACTATTAAGTATTTGTATAAAAGGTTTAAAACTTTATAAGGCAGCTTATGAGTGCAATGGTTTTTTGACAATGTAATCCCTTTTATCATTTTCTCCCATCTCATCCCTTCTGTCCTTACTCACAAGTTACATAGTGTACCTCAAATACAATGACTACATTCGTTCACCCTTCCTCCCTCCATTCCTGTGCTCCCCTTTGCCCACCCCCCCAAAAAGTCGTATTTCCGTTTCCTGGTATTGTTTTTGATAAACAGTGCATTAATTCTTCAGAGGAGTGATGTCTTTGGATACCCTCCTTTGGTCAATTTGTTTGGGTATAAATGCATTAGGCCCTATATATGTTATCATGCCTAGTTGTAGTTAAGATCTAGCTTACACATATGATAGAAAACATGTGCCTGGTTTCACTCAACATGATTTGTTCTAGGTCCATCTATTTCCCTGAAACTGATGTAATATTGTTCTTTCTAATAGATGAGTAAAATTCCATTGTGTATATGTGAAACATTTTCTTGATCCACTCATCTGTGGTAGGGCAACTGGGCTGTTTCCATAAGTTGGCTATTGTGCATAGCCAACAATAGCAATGAGCATGGATGTGTGAGTATCCTTACCGTATCTTGACTTGTAATACTCTAGATAGATGCTCAGTAGTAGTGTGGCTGGCCCCATTCTTCATCTCCTTCCCTCCATCTGCAGCAAGATAGGTACTCTCACACCTAAAACCATGTGAGGCTTTTCTTCTGAGACTGAAGACACCTGACTGGAGTCACAAGAGAGAATGTCATGGTAATATTGGAACAAAATCATCGCATGCACTAAAATGTCAGCTAAAAGATGACACTCTGGAGTATAGAATTTCAAGAAGCAAATATGAGGTTAAATATCTTTCATAAAGTTGTAATTTATAATCCTAACTGTCTTCCTTCCCTCCCATTTTATTTTATGAACTCAGGTATCAAAGAACAAGGCACAATAATTTTCATTGGAAAAGGTGAATCAATTATTTCAAGCTAATTAAGTGAACATGTTACAAGCTGTGTAGAACATAAAGCCATCTGAGGAAGTATTATCATATGGTTTAATGTGAAAAGTACAGGAATGGGGTGATGGGGGAGGAGTATTCTAGAAAGAAAATCTGAAAATCACCTTTAGTCTTAACCACCTTGATGCTTCAGAAAGAATAAGGAGAGGAAATACACAATGACGGAGACTTTTAGCCACAGGGACACCTTTGCTCTGTGTCATTTTTTGAGACTGCCTTTCCTGTTATCCAGCCACAAATTATAGGCATCTTCTTCCAATTTTTATTATAGCATCACAACTTACTTTATAGTATCTCTGGGGTTACCTGTTCTCCTTTTTTTCCAGCTTTTCTTGATTTTTTTGTCTTCTTATCAGTTGTTATTCCATAGGATAAACATAAAAAATAGGAAAATAAAATTGATCTCTTATTTCCTACAGATGTTAGGATGTAACCAAGCCTGGTAAGTTGCTATTGGCTGAAAGGAGATTTGGGACACCATTAGTACATCGTATTGTTTCTATTTGTACTTCTGTTTTTCCATTAAGACTATTAAATGTTGGATGGTAGGGACCAACTGCATTTTTTTCATTTCTCTTTCCCAAGTACATAGCTCAGTGCTTGATACAGAAAAGACCTGTGCAAAACTGCTGAAGGTAGTGAATGAATGAATGAATGAATGAGTGAAACAAGAGAAAGAGCAGCATTCATCTCTTTCTCTTACCCTCTCCTGATAACTACTCAGGTAGCTACTTCCAGGGCAGCCACTCAAGAAGCCCAGAATGCTGTAACTTTTCAAAGATGTATGGAAATTCTTGGAACTGGTATAAACCAGTACCCAGCCATTCCCAACACACACACACACACACACACACACACACACACACACACAGTGAGCTGTCAGGCAAGTAGTTTAGGTAGCAGAATTCTATAAGGAAAGCCATGTTTGGTTCGCATTTTAATGAGTGAGGAAGGAATGAAATATTGTATTATTTATTTCTATCCAAGGATAATCTAATCTTGGAAAGATGGCTACCGGGGTTAACACCAGTTTCCCCTTAGAAAAATGAATAGTGTCTGCACTGGGGTTAAGGTAAAATGATCATGTCCTGCTGTAGTTGTCAGCAAGAGGTTCATTGTTTATGGCTTCATTACTACCTTAAATCGAATATCTATATTTCCCCTTTGGTTTAATGAGGCCACATGGTTGGGGGATTTTTTCTTTAACTCAACTTATTTTAATTTGTGTTTAACTAGCCCTCCTAACCTATTAGGTACTCAGATGGGCAAGTTAGAGACAATTAGCTAAGTGTTTCTCTTGTTACGCATACCTCAAGATAAGGATAATCAATAAGACTGAAGCATTTACGGAAGAGAAATTCAGTGTCCGTCAAGCATATTAGCCACCTGATCAAGCTGTGTTTCAGAAGCAAGCGGCTCTTCCTGCCTGCCTTGGCCTCGTTACTGCTCAGTCACTTTGCTGTTGTGTTTTCTTAGTTTTCAGGACTTTATCTCCTGTCTTTCTTCACCATCCTCATCGGACTGGTGCTCTACTCCTCCACCTCCACGTACATAGCCCAGGACCCCAGAGTGTACAAGCAATTCCGCAATCCTTCGGGACCTGTTGTGGACTTACCAACCACAGCTCAGGTGGAGCCTTCAGTCACCTACACCAGCCTGGGCCAGGAGACCGAAGAGGAACCCCATGTACGTGTGGCCTAGGATGAATCCTGCCCTGCCCACTGAGGATAACTCAGGGGCCCTATGTTTGCCCATCATCTCTGTATTGTACATAGAGAAAGGTATTTACTAGGTGCAGTTTACACAGGTGGACTGCAAGGTAGCAGATGCTCTGAAAGTTCGTAAAAGGAACAAAGTAAAGCTCACTGGAGACACAGGCTGCGATCCACCTGAGCACGAGGGATGCCTAGCTGGTGAGCACGAACCCCTACTCCGTATCAGTTACTGTGAACATTTTTGAATCAAAAGCAAGTATTCCTGTTATTATGATTTATATTATTATTGCTACTGTTATTAAACTTTCAGGAGGAGGTTTTGTACTCCTGGTAGGAACTATTGCCAGATCCACACATAGTTACCATCAATCCCACTTTTTTTTATGGCAAATCACTTTTTAAGAATCACAGGGGTTTTTCGTTTGTTTTTGTTTTTGTTTTTTGGGGGGGTGCAGACTATGTGAGTGATGCATGCCACAGGAGCTCCACCCCTGAGACGTGTCCTCGTCCTAGGGACCCGGTGTGTAATGGTTTCCTCTGTTAGATGTGTGACTGCCTGCTCAATAAGTATCTTGTGCTGTGACCCGTGTGGGAGGGGCAACTGACCATATAATTCTCTATTCTAGGAATAGATGTAAGACAAACATTTTAGTCTTTTTTATATTTCAATCTCTAACTACTCTAGGCCATTACCTTTCTGTTGTGCCACGTGACTGCTAATCAAGTCCCTGTAATTACAGGATAAGGACTGTTCTACTTCTGTGGCTTATGGGAAACCTCAGAAATAACATCATTTGCATTTATGGTTATGTATCTTTTTAAATTTTTATGGCCTTCCCTCTAGCGCCTCTTCAAAGCACCCCCCTCCCTTGATTTTCTTACTGGTAATATATAAATTAATCCAGGCACTGGAAAAATCTTTCTTCTCTGTCATGTTAATTATATGACATCTAAAATACAAAACCAAACCCATCAGCATAGAACTTGTCTTTACTGTGAACTATCATTGTTTTTGCCACCTCCTCAAGTCAAGGTGCCAGTGTAGTCTCTCATAATAGTTCAGATGTCCTGGTCACTTTGTAGTGGTTAAAAAAAAAAAAAGCCACCACTGGAAATCTGGTATTTGGGTCATTTTTAATAGCCACTCAATTGTAGAATATATTAGCATAACATTCATGATCTGATCCATTGCCCTTCCCTTCCCCACCCCCAAAAACCCACCAAAACAGAAAATTAAGACCTTTGTAATATAGAGTAGATTCTATGTGCCAGTCTATGAAGTGCTTCTTCAGTTTGGCTGACTTCAATAACGGTTATGCAGTTTGGGGCAGTTCTGTTTTGTATGCCTTAAACAGGTAAGTGAAGCAAAACACAAGCAGGGTATAAAATAGAGGAAAAACCACAGAGCAGGACTTGTACAAGGCCTAAAGATGGTAGGCTAAGGAATCCCATGCTGTCTGCTAGCACGAGTGGATTTTTTGTAGGCCTTCTAACATGGAATGAGCAGTCCTGCCCTAGAAAAAGAAAAACTATCTTCTCTGATATGAAGATTTCACAGTCAATTCAGCTTCCTTTAAAACATGTTTTGTTTTATGTGTGGAGGAACAGTCAATGCCAAAACGATACCACATCAAAATAAACTTGCCAAACATCTGCTCTCTGCTACCTTTTAAACCAATCAAATACCTTTCTCTGAATATTTTGTCCATTCAGACCCGAAGACCTTTAAAGACTGTGGTTTTATTTTTGTGTTTACATTCCTTTGGTTTGCATAATTTGCTTGATTTATTACACTTCTAGTATTTATTTTAAGGCAAATGGGTTTTTTGTCTTTTTGACTCATTTTTATGACACTAATTTGAAGACACTTATGAGAAACAAGTGGCTGAAACTATTTCTAAGTCTACTCAGTGGGCTGGGATTTTTTTTAAATTAAACTTTCCAAAAAGTTTGCAATCAACTGATGGCAATCTATCTTATAGAAATCAACTGATGGAATCTATCTTATAGGACATTTTACTTGACTCCATTGTATGGAAAGGAAGTGTGAATGTCAAAGGTACTCACTGTGAAAAGCTTCATCTTCCAGTATCTGTGTGATCAGACTGTCATGTCACTGAGTTATCTAGCTGTGTTGCTTCATCTCCATGTAAAAAGACTGGAAATCTTGATGGTTCGAGGTCAGGCATTCCAGATTCACCCTTCAGTGGGGGAAGAAAGTAGTAAAGGACAGTTTCTTCTTCTGAGGAAAAACATTGGTCCTTTGGGATTGGGGTGGAAAATGGAAACAGGGCAATGTTAACTCTTGTCTTTTAGTTGCTGAGATTTCATAACCTCAGTAGACACCAGCAAGATTTTCAACTTTTCAAGCCACCACTCTCTTCAACCAGTGAGACCCTAGCAATTGGGATTCCATTTGATGAAGAGCAAATCACAGCTCTTCCTAAACCCTGCTAGAGATAAATGGTGGTTCTCCCTTCCTCCATGGAAAGCTGCACTGGGGACAGGGCTTGCCTTGGTCATACCTTCCCACAGCTTCTAACCTTGAAACACACATCCAGGTAGACCAAGCAATGGAAAAATTGGCACCACTGTGTCCCATGAAAATGTTTAAATGTTTAGTTTAGATATTGCTAACTTGTGCTATTAACCTTTGGAAAAGCGTGTAGTATTGTTTGTTTGGGGGGGGTTATTTTTTATTTGTAACCACTTAGTAGTCCCCGGCTAGCTACCAGTACAGATTTTACCCCATGGGTAGGATTCTATTGTTAAGCCACATAACAAAGCACACTAATCCTGCTACCACAAATGGAAAATATGAACCAAAAAGGAAATTGACACCAGTAAGTTGAGCAAACTGTCCATTTTTTTTTTTTTTGATATTTGCATGCTCCCCTATGGACTGGCTGTGGCAATGTAATGCCTGTACAATGTTTTCAAATAAAAAATAAATGCTTTATGAAAGCACTGAGTTCTTGGTTTTCTTGTGTGTTTGTCTGCACTATGACAACCATGGAAGCAGTTCCCTTAGGATGCTAGAAATAGCAACAAAAGCAAATAGCTGGGTACGTGTCAAAACAAAAACCAGAGAGAAAATATTTCCAAATTAGGAAGGGCACAGCCAATCTCAGAATTATAGTTTTGAAAAGCCAAATTAAACACATTTGTAATTAGCAAGATTAATTATTGATTAGGGTACTGAAGAAAGCTCTGGAGCTACAACCACGTCCACTCATGTAGATCATATAAATTTACCCCTGAGAAACAACTTCTCATAATGAAGAAAGCTTTTTTGTTTCCTGCCCTTGATATGCCAGAAGACCTAAGGATGAAGCTTCTTCCAGAGCCAGACATTTGTTTAGCAGATGATGTCCATATTTCTGTTCAGAAACTATAGAGAATCTTTAAAAAAAATCCCCACTACAACTGATTTCACCCTGTACACTCACGCCATTTATGTGTGTTTGTCATTTGTGTTCACAAGATGACCTCTAAAATTAAATGAGCCAGGATGACTGTGTCTGATTTATGCTTTTAAAATACTTTTTAAAAGATAACAACCATTATTTCAGGAAAAAGGATCAGTCTTATATCCTTATAAAATATTGCATAAAATACCCAAGTTGAAACTCATCATGACCTGTTTTGGTAGTTAAAACAACATGTACTTAACATAAATAATTTGCTTGAAAAAATATGAGTCACAATGTCAGAAGTTTTCCTTGTGAAAATTCTAATTTGATTTGGTAAGCTCTTTGATCAAGGATGAAAGCAATTTGAACTTCAGCCCAGCCTGTGTCCAAATACCCATTATTTCCAAATGATCGGGGGTCCAATTAACATGAACAATAAATGTATATGTCATGTCCCATCTATTTCCTTCAGTGAATTCTAATTTTCTTAAGAGAAAGAACGAGGTTTCCAAAATACTTGAAAACACTTGCAATAAAAAAAAGATAGGAGGAAGTGGCGCTGTGACTCAAACAGTGGAGCACTCGCCTGCCTTGAGCTGAAGAGCTCAGGGACAGCGCCCAAGCCCAGAGTTCAAGCCCCACTGCCGACCAAAACACACACACACACACACACACACACAGAAAGGAGCACCTGAAGTTCATGAAAATCAAAATTAAGGAAAACAGAAAAACATCTAAAACTCCAGGGCAATAGCTTATTGTATTGTCTAGATGTCCCACAAGAAAACCAAAAGTGAGAAATAACAAAAGCTGAAATCAGATTCAGATCATGTAGTTTCAATGCCCAGCAAAACACAAGGGCTCTTGAATATCTTCTTTTAATAGAATCTGTCGTCTAAACTACAACTATAAATTACTTGGTAAGAAATTCTGATATAAAATATTCCCTTGTTTTTCTTTTACTATTCTTGAGGACTTTTATTCTATAGACATCCTGTTCTTGGAAAGGAAGAAATGGCCATGTCCTCTTCTATGGCATGTTCTAAAATCAGTATGAGCCTTCAGGTTCAGGACTGTGGTAGGAAACAACAAAGTTTTTTTCTTACTTGTAAATAGTATTTTTGCATTTGTAATATACCCTCTTAATTATATGCACGCTTTCCTTTCTTTTTTTCCTTCCATCTTTCTTGTTTCAATAAGAACAGAGAGCACACTGTGGGCCACCTATGCAGGGTCTCTGCCCCTCATTATCTATGCTGTCAAAAATCTTTAATTAAAAGAATTATAATACAGCTGGAAAGCCCTGCCTCCTCCAGACGGCCTTCATCAGTGTCTGAAACAACAAGCCATTGTGCATCATTTTTCGGTCAGCAAGACAAGTCACCTCCAAACAGTAATGTGGACTGATTCACAAGGAAAACTATCAGAAGGGAAGAGGTCTCTGGGAACAGGCTGTAAAATTAGGGCCTTCTGTTTGGTTGGACAAAGGGCTGGTGTGGATAAGATAAAAATCTGGGGAAAAAAAAACATGAAAATGAGCTTGTTCATCAAACCTCAGCCTTAGAGCTGGGAT